TTTCTGAAAGAATTTCTTCATTCCTTTTCCTGCGAAATACATGCCAATTCTTGGGGAGGCATTCTAAGTGTGATGTTTGAAGGGTCCCCCACCATTGGCAAACGGGAAAAACATGGCAAAACAATGCAAGACAAATGTTTCGAAAGGAAATCCCTTAAGTGTCCACAGTCTTTGCGGGAGTGCTGCGCCATCAAAACTGCTTGTACATTTTTGTACAAAAGCTATGAGAACGCTGATTTCCAGGTAAATTTTGGATTTGGGCTTTGGTGGCTGCATTTTTTTCCGTCTGAGATGTTTACTGGTGCAATCACATTCAAGCATTACCTTTCGAGCTGGATCTCGAACCCCTAGTCTTGACAGCAAAATGTGTCAATTTCCACGAATTTCCCTAAGCGAACTTTGAAAAGTGAGAAGTTTCAGCCCTTTTTGTGTAGGAACCGTCCAATGCCGGCTGTGGTTGCAATTTTGTTCAAAAACAAATCTGGCATCATTTGTTCAGGCCAAAATCTGATTCTTTAAGCCAAAATTTGCTATTGGAAAATGACTGAAGAAGGACATGTGAATGAAATAGCACAAAAACGAAAACGTTGGACACATTCTAAGTGTTGCCCTGAAACGGTGCCAAATGCTGGGAAACGGACAAAACCACAATTTCTGAAAATGACTTGCATTACATGCTTGATTTTTTTTGGGGGGAAATTCTTTCATTACCCTTTGCCGCTTTCTGAAAGAATTTCTTCATTCCTTTTCCTGCGAAATACATGCCAATTCTTGGGGAGGCATTCTAAGTGCGATGTTTGAAGGGTCTCTCCCACCATTGAGAAACGGGAAAAACATGGCAAAACAAATGTTTCGAAAGGAAATCCCTTAAGTGTCCACAGTCTTTGCGGGAGTGCTGCGCCATCAAAACTGCTTGTACATTGTTGTACAAAAGCTGTGAGAACGCTGATTTCCAGGTAAATTTTGGATTTGGGCTTTGGTGGCTGCATTTTCTTCCGTTTGAGATGTTTACTGGTGCAATCACATTCAAGCATTAACCTTTCGAGCTGGATCTCAGACCCCTAGTCTTGACAGCAAAAAATGTGCCAATTTCCACGAATTTCCCTAAGCGAACTTAGAAAAGTGAGAAGTTTCAGATTGATTTTGCATCAGGGTGTGCTGGCCAGCCCTTTTTGTGTAGGATTTCTGTCAACAACCGTCCAAAAATAAAGCTTTTGAGCTGGATGCTGGATTCCGGCTTTGGTGGCAATTTTGTTCAAAAACAAATCTGGCATCATTTGTTCAGGCCAAAATCTGATTCTTTAAGCCAAAATCTGCTATTGGAAAATGATTGAGGAAGGACATGTGAATGAAATAACACAAAAAGAAAACGTTGGACACATTCTAAGTGTTGTCCTGAAACGGTGCCAAATGCCGGGAAACGGACAAAACCACAATTTCTGAAAATGACTTGCATTACATGCTTGATTTTTTTTGGGGGGGAATTCTTTCATTACCCTTTGCCGCTTTCTGGAGTAATTTCTTCATTCCTTTTCCTGCGAAATACATGCCAATTCTTCGGGAGGCATTCTAAGTGTGATGTTTGAAGGGTCTCCCACCATTGGCAAACGGAAAAACATGGCAAAACAAATGTTTCGAAAGGAAATCCCTTAAGTGTCCACAGTCTTTGCGGGAGTGCTGCGCCATCAAAACTGCTTGTACATTTTTGTACAAAAGCTGTGAGAAACCCTGATTTCCAGGTAAATTTTGGATTTGGGCTTTGGTGGCTGCATTTTCTTCCGTTTGAAATGTTTACTGGTGCAATCACATTCAAGCATTAACCTTTCGAGCTGGATCTCAGACCCCTAGTCTTGACAGCAAAAAATGTGCCAATTTCCACGAATTTCCCTAAGCGAACTTAGAAAAGTGAGAAGTTTCAGATTGATTTTGCATCAGGGTTTGCTGGCCAGCCCTTTTTGTGTAGGATTCCAGGCAACAACGGTCCAAAAATGAAGCTTTTGAGCTGGATGCTGGATTCCGGCTTTGGTGGCAATTTTGTTCAAAAACAAGCCTGGCATCATTTGTCCAGGCCCGAATCTGATTCGGGAGACCAAAATCTTTCCTTTTGACGGTAAACACAATATTATGGTTCCTCCCACATTCTCCTTTGCCGGGTTTGGGGATACCCTGGCACCCAGACCCATTTGGACCACAGTTTCTTGGAATAATAATGGAGATTTAGCGGGGTTTCATTGGGCGTTGGCGGTGAAAACACGGGGATATAATGGGATATTGATATTGAGTAGCCCACTACACACACATTACACAATCAATCAATACATATATATATATGTATATATACAATTCGTTTTTGGAATTTATATCAACCATGTGGTCGAAACGCTAGAAACTCACAAATGCGATTTAGGGGACAACAACTAGCATATTCACACCAGAACAGGGGGTTATATAATAAATTTTATATACCATCAAGAGTTTAAGTCTATATCTCTAATAGCAACGGACTGAAACTTAGAATGCCTTGGACCAAAAAAATATTGAAAGGGTCTCCAAATATGGCGATAATCACGCGCACTTAGAATGCCTCATAAAGTCCAGCTCGCAGGTTTGAATGTTTTAGCGATGGAGGCATTCTAAGTGAGGCCAAAAAAAAAGGCATTCTAAGTGGCACCGTTAAAAATCTTAACAAACATGGCGGCATTCTAAGTTTCAGTCCGTCACTATAATTAGTAGGTAGTAGGTAGTAGGTAGTAGGTAGTAGGTAGTGGTCAGTAGTTAGTGGTCAGTAGTTAGTAGTTAGTAGTTAGTAGTTAGTAGTTAGTAGTTAGTAGTTAGTAGTTAGTAGGTAGTAGGTAGTAGGTAGTAGGTAGTAGGTAGTAGGTAGTAGGTAGTAGGTAGTAGGTAGTAGGTAGTAGGTAGTAGGTAGTAGGTAGTAGGTAGTAGGTATAGGTAGTAGGTAGTACGTAGTAGGTAGTAGGTAGTAGGTAGTAGGTAGTAGGTAGTAGGTAGTAGGTAGTAGGTAGTAGGTAGTAGGTAGTAGGTAGTAGGTAGTAGGTAGTAGGTAGTTTAGGTAGTAGTAGTAGTTGTAGTTTTTAGTTTTTAGTTTTTCTTGTGTTGCAATGTAAAACTCTTGTTGTTGTTCTTCTTGTTCTTCTTCTTCTTCTGCTTCTTCGTTGCAGCCACAAACCAAGTACTGACCCCCAGATCAAAAGGAAAGTCAATTGCACGGAATACTAAATAGTATTCGCGACCACCAGATTTACCGGGTCGCGGTTTTTCACCGAGTGCGAATGTCACTTTTGTAATCTTTTATGCACATCAAGCCTTTTTGGCAGAGTAGATCGCACAATGCGCAATGCCACCATTGCACTCCGGGCCCAGCCATATCACGATAGTATAGCCAGTAGATGGACATGGATAGTAGTAGTAGTACTAGTAGTAGTAGTAGTAGTAGTAATAGTAGTAGCAGTAGTAGTAGTAGTCGTAGTGGTAGTCGTAGTCGTAGTCGTAGTCGTAGTCGTCGTCGTGGTAGTCGTCGTCGCCGTAGAAGTAGTAGTAGTAGTAGTAGTAGTAGTAATAGTAGTAGTAGTAGTAGTAATAGTAATAGTAATAGTAATAGTACTAGTCGTCGTCGTCGTAGTAGTAGTAGTAGTAATAGTAGTAGTAGTAGTAGTAATAGTAGTAGTAGTAGTAGTAATAGTAGTAGTAGTAGTAGTGGTAGTAGTGGTAGTAGTGGTAGTAGTGGTAGTAGTGGTAGTAGTGGTAGTAGTGGTAGTAGTAGTAGTAGTAGTACTAGTACTAGTACTAGTACTAGTACTAGTACTACTACTAGTACGGCCGCCCTCCAACTGTGGCAAAATACCCCGGTTACCGTCGCAGAAAACACCGCAGAAAACACCACCGTCGCAAAAAACACCGGTTACCAGTGCAATAAACACCCGGGGCCGTCGCAAAAAACACCGAGGAACCGACGCAGAAAACACCGGCTCGTGACCGACGCAAAAAACATCAAACCTGGCCACCGTAGCAAAAAAACACCGCTTACCGTCGCAAAAAACACGAAGCCCATGATTTGGATATGATTTGGATATGATTTGGATATGAGTTGGATATGATTTGGATATGATTTGGATGGGCTTACAGTACATGGTTTGATGATTTTCCTTCAATACCAGTGCTGCCAGGCAACCCAGAAAGCCCGGGAGGCAATTCAAAAGTACTGCGGCTTGACATCCGGACCCAACATTTCGCTCCTCAGTTGATCGAAGCGTACGAAGCGAACCAAATATGGATACCCTCTGGTAATTTGTTACATAGCTATTGAAAATGGCCATTTATAGTGGATTTACCAATGAAAAATGATGGTTTTCCATGGTTATGTTAGTTTACCAGAGGGTATGTATCGGCATAGAAAATAAACTGCCAACAAAAAACATGTGAGAATGAGGCTGGCTCAGTGGAAGTTGATCCCCAGACTTCAACAAAAGCCTGCCGTCCAAGGAAGACTCTGGAGTTACATACCTATCACTCGCATCTTGGACCATGATGTTTTACGATTTATATGGGTTTGTCTGAAAATAGTGTATATTCCCAATTATATATAGCCATTTTTCATAGGGATTGTCTGATCAGCAAAACCATTGGGTTTAGGGGTTGGACCGGTGTCACCCATTTAGAGACAAACCCAACTGGCGGAAGTTTCTCCATGTTTCTCCAGTCACTAGGTGGACACTGTTGGGAATTGGGGCCTTCCCGGGTTTTTCTGCACTTGCCAACACAAAGAATTAAAGAGAGAGAAAACCAGAACTGAGGAGTGCCTTCTATGAAATGGGTGAAGCCATGAAAGACTTCAAGAACAAAATCGCAGGCTTACAGATCAAGCATCTTGACTCAAGCACTAGAGTCACTAGAGGCTCAACAGCAACGCGACTGCGGGAGTGGTATGACCTTTGTTTCTGAGTGCAAGATGGATTTTAACATATTTTAACTGTCTTTTCTCCATGGCTTTGGTGTGCAGTGATGGTTTCTTGTGCAGTGTCAGGCTGGTGGCTCCTGAAAGGCTGGGTGCCCCCTTCAAGGCAACTCAGCTGCAACGTGGCTGGAACAGCTGCTCACCTTAACAGGTGGGAAGCCAGCTCAACGTCTTCCCTGAACTGGTAAAGGGATGTAAAGGGTAAATCTGCAGGAAAGCCCCATGTTGCCAAATCCATGGTTTCCTTCTCATTCTTCCAGGGTTGCATCCAAATTCAAGTAGATTAGAAGCCACGTTCAGAAACATATTCGTATAGCCCGGGATGGATCAAACCATTAACCAGCTATTTTAGGGTACCATCCGGGTACCAGGGTTTTGACCCATCATATGATATATGGGCATGGGGGTTTCCTAGAATACGGGTATCCCCATATCATCCATTTTAGTAGGATCTTCCATTGTAAACCAATCCTCAGGTCACCATTGGGCCTGGCCCGGTGGCACACGTCTCGACGGCCGAAGCCACGATCCGGAAGACGCTAAGAGAGGCGACGCTTTGTGGTGGATCTGAGCCATGAATAGTGGTAGGATAACTTAGCGAACTTAGAATGTATATTATATAACTATATATATATGGAATATATATGGAATATATATGGAATATCCATGAAAATTTCCACTTATATATGGCTTAAATGATTTATCCCACTTATGATAATATGATGATAGGGTAAAGATATTAGGATAACCCACAATATTATGATAACCCACCTACACATTGCCCATCATGATAAATATGAGGATATGATGTGTATATATATATATATAGTATATACCCTGTGGTAAACGTTTACATAACTATGGGAAATCACCATCCTTTAATGGGTAAATCAACTATTTCGACTGGGCAATTTTCCAGAGGGTATATCCCATCAATCTCCCATTAAATCACTATAAATCCCATTAAAAATTGTGATTTCCCAGAGTTTTTTGTATGTGATGTGAACTACCCTCTGGTAATTTGTTACGTAGCTATTGAAAATCACCATACTATTAATGGGAAAATCCACTATAAATGGTCATTTTCAATAGCTATGTTAGTTTACCAGAGGGTATGCATTATGACCACATCCACAAGGTGATTCTACATTACCCATGGCTAAGATCAGCAATGGGACGATCTGATGTTCCCCATGGGTTGATCATACGGGGATTATTTGTGGTAATCAGTTGGGTTCAGTGATGATTTAAAGCCAACACCATTGACCAGTATATACATATATATATATGTATATTATATACATATATATATATATATGTGTTTGTATACATCTATGTATTACATATATAATCACGTCCACTGGACATTTATCAACCAATCAGTATTGATTTATCTATATAGTTTTATCGGAATATGATTCACGAAACATATCAAGAACCGTAAATGTCAATCTCCACTTATGGTTGATGCTTATAACACGATACCCAGTTATAAGACTTATAAAGATATTGATTGAGGAATAACCAGGCGTTTGACGCTACTCAGGTGGAATTGGAGCTTCACTACAAGCAGCGGAGAACTGTGCCCCCAGTCACATGGCAGCCAGATATTTCAGAAAGGAAGTTTCATGGGCCCATTGCAACATGATGTATACTGGTTGGTTAACAACGTGTTTTTACAACGGAATATATGTATAGATATAATATTATATATATATACATAATCCACATATCATATTACAATATACACATATGTAATACAATACAACTATATTTATATATGTACCATATGTACATACATAGATATAGGTTAAACATGACTCTTTATAACTCATTATTGTGTGTTTGTTGGTTGGTTGGTTGGTTGGTTGGTTGGTTGGTTGGTTGGTTCATCAATATGCCTGCGACTTCGTTCACGATTTCTTTTGCGGTGGGATTAGACCCACTATACATATTAGTCAAACTAATGGCTATAATCTCTAGTGAACTAATATAGCTTTGGAAAATTGCCATTCACAGATCATTTACCTCATAAAAATCTTATCAATCAAACCCCTAAGGAACCCAATCAACAAGGCCAACATTGAGAAAATATAGTAATACATGATATCATATATATGTCAATTCTTTTTTGATCTTTCTGCGTGGATTCCTACTTGGGAGAGAGTGGCAGGGTTCCTCACCGTCAAGCTGAGGAGTTGAAGCATGCGATGATGTGCAAAAACACCAAGGAGCGCGCAAGTTTTAAAACCATTGAAACCAGAATACAACTGTTTCTGCAGCTGCATGGTTTTATATATTTCTGTTTACATGTATGTATATTATATGTATGTATATGTATGTATATATGTATGTATATATGTATATGTATATATGTATATACGTATATATGTATATATGTATATATGTATATATGTATATATGTAACATGTATATATGTATATATGTATATATGTGTATATGTATATATGTATATATGTATATATGTATATATGTATATATGTATATATGTATATATGTATATATGTATATATGTATATGTATATGTATATATGTATATGTATATATGTATATGTATATATGTATATATGTATATATGTATATGTATATATGTATATGTATATATGTATATGTATATATGTATATGTATATATGTATATGTATATATGTATATATGTATATATGTATATGTATATGTGTATGTGTATGTATATGTATATGTATGTGTATATGTATATGTATATGTATATATATGTATATACTAATATATACATTGTATGTATATATGTATATTATATGTATATGTATATGCATATGCAGATGCGTATGTATATGTATATGTATATGTATATGTAGATACTAATATATACATTGTATATGTGTTTGTTTATCCATTGTATTAAAATTGTATCCATAGCTTCATGATTAACTGAGCCAGGAGGGCATCGATTGTCCCAACAAAGCGTGTCCCTTTTGTCACAGTCCTGAAGAGTCGCTTGGCAAAGTGGTGGTTTATATATGATTTAATACATTTTAATACTATTCATGGGACAATTTAATAGGATTTAATACATTTAAATGAATTTATGTGATTTTAAACGGTGGTTTAGAAGATCGGTGATGTTCTCAGTTGGATTTTTTTCAGAGAGACATTTCAGTGGATCGAACTGATGCTGGAAATTTCACTATTCCCTGAGACTGCTAGGGCTGCTAGGGGAGGTGAAAATCCCAGTGAAAAAACGCAGTTGCGATGGCTTTCATGACGTGGTCTAAATTGGATGAACTTGGGACTTGATGCTGATTGAAAACAAAATGTTGTGGTGTCCAACAGTGAGATGATGTGGGGACTTGTGTCAGGCTGGAAATTGCGAGTCGCTGTTGCTATGAAAACAGCATCTCTGTTCCTGGACAGACTGTGGCCACCACGTGTCTAGTCCACAGCTCTTCAGCCTCCCAGAATTTTTGTGACTTGTAACTGCATGGTGTAGTGGACCGACGTAGTCCAGTCTCAACGTATAGTGGGCTCAGAATGTTTTAAAAAGGCATACAGGCGTTGCCACAATTATAGAACGGAATTAGAAGTACAAAAGTACCGTAAAATACCGTACTTTCGTACTCCTCTGGATCCCGATTCCGCGCGGATTCGGATCCTGTTCGATACTTAGTTGGCTGTTCTGTAATTAATTTGTGCTCCTCAACTTCCGTTCGATAATTGTGGCATATTGTGGCTATGACCATTTGGATATTATGTACATACATGATATCTACTGCATATGTAAAATACACAATTACACAAATACCGCACATACATACCCCAAAGAATATGGCCGTATATGGTACAGTACATACCTCGGTTCTCAAATTCACATTGAAACAACCGGCAACACGCAGATTGTGTGAGTCTTGGAGGTTGCTTACATGTATTTACATCATTTTATGTATCTTTCTGGGACCCCAGAAGAATGTACATAAAAACCAGAATTGTAGAACGGAATTATTGTAAGTTTGATTATAGAACACGCAATTGTAGAACAGAATTGGTAAATGTGAGAAATATGGGGGAACACACAAGTATGGAACACAAACAAGAATTAACGACAAAAAAGTTAGGAGTACGTGGTTGAGAGTAGTTTTTTTCCCAACGTTCTGAGGAAACAGGAATTATGGAACAACAGGGTAGGGTAAACAACCGTACTTTCGTACTCCTCAACTTCCGTTCTATAATTGTGGCAACCACCATACACCCATACCAAATCATTTGTGACAAGTCGACTCAGCTGAATTGCATTTCTTTTCGATTCTTTTTGATTAGTCTCTGCAAAGCTGACATGGTCAGATTGGTCCGAGCTTTTCCTCAGGCAGAAAGCGCCAACAAAAGCGCCGCCCATTATCACTGCAAAGGCGGCCACCGTGACCGGAATCAAAGGCTGCGTGACGTCCAAAGATCAGTTTTGTTTTCTCGTCGTTTGCCTGTTTCTCTCTCTCTCTCTCTCTTTGGTTGGTGGGTGGGTGGGTTTCCTTAGGTTCCTTTCGGTTTCCTGAGGTTTCTTCGGGTTTCTTATTGTTACTTCTGATGTCTTCAGTCTGGAGATCACTTGATCTGTGTTTTGCTTTGCGCTAGTTCCTCACGCCGCTCAGGTGACAAACCAAAGCCAGCCACGGCTGATGATGAAACCAGTGGTCTTTTGTAGACCTGACTTCGCCAAAAAAAACTCGGTCGGGGCATTTGGAGCCCGGAAAACAGGCGGCAGCACCAGGGGCTTTGGGCCTTGGGGATACCATGGAAGCTGTGAGCCGTTGAGCTGTTAAGCTGAGGTCAGAAGTTGATTTATTCCGGCAAAATCTTGGCAGATGACGTCCCAAAGTTGCACTGGCGATGCATGGATGTGCACGATTTATGATTGGTTCAGTCAGCCATTTCTGATTTGCTCAGGTCACCCTTCAGGACTCCGGCTACCAGAGCACTGGATTCATTGTTGCCATGGCTACCAAGGCCAGACCTGGGGCGCTGTTTCCATGACAGGACTTGGATGGCAGCTACAGCTACTGAGTACTTACCAACTTAACAACCCATTTTTTTTAAAGATATGATGTTCTTACCCACTTGCTAACCAGGATGCACATCCAAGGGTCAGAGCTTCTGAGTCTTGTGTGCAAGGCCAAAGCGCCGAGTGCAAAGGCTCCTGCTTGGATCTCAGGGCCGATTGCTCCAGCTTCAACCCTTCTGCCTCGAATCCCCCATGTAAGCCCACCTATACGGATATTTTTTCAATCATATTTTATCTTCGATGTTCGATTATTTGTTCCAAAAAAAGTCAACAGTCAACATGTAAAATATCATATGTCGACAATCACTGATAATTAATGGTATATAATCATATCATAAACTAGAGTTTTATGGAATGGCGGGGTACGGGTTCCTACCCTTCAAGCGGGATAAAATCATCAATTAGTTATGAACATTTTAATCATTGAACATTATGATAATAGTTCTATCACACATAATCATCATATTTCAATGATAATCATTATATTTAAATATGATATATAACAATCATTATCTTAACAATGACAATGATGATAATCTCATAAACAGTTATATTCCTTTATACATTAACAAAATAAGATATCTTAACATCGTATAATAATAATATTTGAAGAATATCATACTGTAATCAAGTATATAATAATAGCATAATCTTATATCATATAAATATATATAATCATCAGAACCGTGATATTTATCATCAATGATAATCATGATATTCAAAAATGATACAGAATACTCATGTGACACTATCATCATAATAACCATTATCTTAACAATGGTATAATGATATAATAATATCCTGTCAGTTCAAAGTGACTATTTTGGGCCTAGTAAGTGACCATTTCAATGGTTAAGTGACCTCAAACCAAGGGAGAAAGAGGTCACTTTGAATGGTCTGGATTGTACTGTAATCTTATACAATATTATTCCGCAACTTCCCAAAGAGCTGAGGCCCCTACACCGGCAACTCCAGCAGCTACACCAGCTCCAGCAGCTACACCAGCGCCGACTCCAGCAGCTCCAGCTGCTCCAGCCGCCTGGTTCGCGTTGATGATCCCTTTTTCCATGGAATTCGAATGGGATTTTACCAACCAAACGGTGATTTAATGGGATTTTCATGGGATTTTACCAACAAAAATTGTGATTTAATGGGATTTTAATGGGATAATAACCAACCAAATGGTGATTTAATGGGATTTCAATGAGATTTTACCAACCAAATGGTGATTTAATGTGATTCTAATGGGATTTTACAAACCAAAATTTAAAATTATGATTTAATGGGATTTTAATGGGATTTTACCAACCAAATGGTGATTTAATGGGATTTTAATGGAATTTTACCAACCAAATGGTGATTTAATGGGATTTTAATGGGATTTTACCAACCGAATGGTGATTTAATGTGAGTTTAATGGGATTTTACCAACAAAAATTGTGATTTAATGGGATTTTAATAGGATATTACCAACCAAAATTGTGATTGCATGGGACTTTACCAACCAAAAAGATGATTTAATGGGATTTTAATGGGGTTTTACAAGCCAAAATTGTGATTTAATGGGATTCGAATGGGGTTTTACCAACCAAATGGTGATTTAATTGGATTTTAATGGGATTTTACCAACCAAATGGTAATTTAATGGGATTTCAACAGGATTTTATTAACCAAATGGTGATTTAATGGGATTTTAATGTGATTTTACCAACCAAATTGTGATTTAATGGGATTTTAATAGGGTTTTACAAGCCAAAATTGTGATTTAATGGGATTCGAATGGGGTTTTACCAACCAAATGGTGATTTAATTGGATTTTAATGAGATTTTATTAACCAAATGGTAATTTGAGGGATTTCAACAGGATTTTATTAACCAAATGGTGATTTAATGGGATTTTAATGTGATTTTACAAACCAAAATTGTGATTTAATGGGAATTTAATGGGATTTTACCAACAAAAATTGTGCTTTAATGGGATTTTAATAGGGTTTTACCAACCAACATAGTGATTTAATGGGATTTTAATGGGGTTTTACCAGCCAAAATTGTGATTTAATGGGATCTTTATGGGATTTTACAAACCAACATTGTGAGTTAATGGGATGTTCATTGGATTTTACCAACAAAAAGTGTGATTTAATGGGATTTAAATGGGATTCTACCAGCCAACATAGTGATTTAATGCGATGTTAATGGGATTTTACAAGTCAAAATTGTGATTTAATGGGATTTTAATAGGGTTTTACCAACCACAATTGTGATTTAATGGGATTTTAATAGGGTTTTACCAACCAAAATTGTGATTTAATGGGATTTTAATGGGATTTTACAACCCAAAATTGTGATTTAATGGGATTTTAATAGGGTTTTACCAACCAACATAGTGATTTAATGGGATTTTAATGGGGTTTTACCAGCCAAAATTGTGATTTAATGGGATCTTTATGGGATTTTACAAACCAACATTGTGAGTTAATGGGATGTTCATTGGATTTTACCAACAAAAAGTGTGATTTAATGGGATTTCAATGGGATTCTACCAGCCAACATAGTGATTTAATGCGATGTTAATGGGATTTTACAAGTCAAAATTGTGATTTAATGGGATTTTAATAGGGTTTTACCAACCAAAAATTGTGATTGCATGGGATTTTAATGAGATTTTACCAGCCAAAATTGTGATTTAGGGATTTCTATGGGATTTTACAAACCAAAATTGTGATTTAATTGGATTTCAATGGGATTCTACCAACCAACATAGTGATTTAATGGGATTTTAATGGGATTTTACAAACCAACATTGTGAGTTAATGGGATGTTCATTGGATTTTACCAACAAAAAGTGTGATTTAATGGGATTTCAATGGGATTCTACCAACCAACATAGTGATTTAATGGGATTTTAATGGGATTTTACAAGTCAAAATTGTGATTTAATGGGATTTCAATGGGATTCTACCAACCAAAAATTGTGATTTAATGGGATGTTCATTGGATTTTTCCAGCCAACATGGTGAGTTAAGGTGGTTGTACTACCCTCCTGTAAAGGTTTACATCGATGTGGAACAGTCACCACAAAATTTTCGATCATTTTCCGCACGGGTTTCCCCATGTTTTTTTTTATTGGTTTTCCACATCTATGCAAAGGTTTACCTGGGGTATCCAATACATACTTGTATATATACAATGTGGGGCCCCCCAGTTATAAGATGGTTTATAAACTCCATTAACTATATAGTTATAGGTACCATAAACCATAGTTATTGGAGTTATAAACCAACTTAGCTATCTAGGGGGCCCCACTATATATACATATCAGTATGAATCCAACATACTGGGAATCCTTTTAGAAGTATGTAACTATAACCAGTATTTCATGGAATGACAAAAGGTTTTGATTTCATCTCATGTCAATATATTTCAATGGGCTAATTAGAATTTCATCTGGTAGTCGGCACATAACTCGTGGTAAGTTGCTGAGATATGCTCCATTTCCAACGACTGGGTATACGTCAGCAGCGACTTAGGCAGCGCCTGCCGCAGTCAGACCCCCAGTGGAAATGCTGTGCAAATCTTCCTTTCGGCGTCCTCGGGGAGAATGTAATGATCAGATGGTACCGTCACACGACAGGTGCTCTATGATCGTTTACCTTGTATTATGAATATAGTAATGATACGAAGAAGAAGAAGAAAAAGAAGAAGAAGAAGAAGAGGAGGAGGAGGAGGGAGAAAAGGAACAATATATGATAAACATGAATATTCATAATTAAAAACCACTGACAAGAATGATAATAGTAATATTGATAATGATAGTACCCATAATAATACTGTTAATAATATGATATACTTTATGCATATATACATGTGTGTGTTACATTTGTGAGCATGTAGTGTTCCTGTTGATCGGACAATCGTCAGCCTCTTGGCTGATTGCAGGATGCTCCCCTTGACGCTTGTGACCCAGTTCCGAGAGAAGCCCGTGATTCACTTGAGGTTTTTACATGCAAAACAAACTCAAGGGAAGATATTCAGGACATCATGAATTACCAAAGATCTCTAGCATATCAATGCATATCACTGGTAAATGATGATTGATGGATGGATTGTTGCCATTAATAGGTACTGTATATTTTAGGGACATAAAGTGGAAATATACAAGATAGGTTTCCTGCAGATTTTCCCCCCTCACACACACACAGTGCGAGAGTGCAGCCGCCCCATTCAGGAAGCTTCAGTGCAAAGCCTTATGGAAATGGGTTTTCCACGTGACCAGGTGGCGGAACTAGCTCAGCTGCCTCGATTTTATGGATGGCATCGTCAAAGCTTCGGCTTAGTACACCTTTTCAACTGGCAAAAGCTGAGTGTTTATCATTAAAACTACGGGAATATAAACGGGTACCAACCACCAGCCACCCCTGGGATAAGGAGGTCATCAACATTTAGCCACCCGGAAGGTGGAAGCAGCACTTCGAGCAGCTCCAGGGCGAAATACGATGGTAGCAGTAGAGTTTCTCGGAGCACCTGAAATTCACTCAAACTGGCAACCTTGACATATTGAATTGGCACGCTTGACATATGGATTTACATGCATTTTTGAGACTTACAAGCTGATGGATCCATGAATTTTATGTGTCATATCTTCCGCAGCCAACATTATCTGCCGATGTCTCGATGTCTGGGGAATCCTCTTGTCCTGGATCTACCCGGATGAGTTGTGTAAACTGAGGTTCTTGATGACAGGAATCCCTGAAGCAGGGCCTGAGATGCCGGTGGGGCCCCCAGAACCCCCCTGATGTCAAAACCTTGTACCCCTTCTGTTCACATCAAAATAGCTGGGATTTATGGATGTTCATCCCCCTAAAAATGGTATTAATAGGTATTGATCCATACCCACCTGAATAAACTATATAAACTGGTGAGTTCGGGGGTTCCAAGAAGATGTTTTCTTGCACCAAATCGCAGGCGGGAGGACTTCCTTTTCCGTATGGTCATGGACCAGGAGGACCAGGACCACAAGGACCGCCAACTGGGTCTCCCACGTATCGCTGATCCCATCAGAAGTCATGGCCATGAGGAGAGGTTGGAGACAACGAACCAATGCCAGAGGTGCTGGCCCAACTGCGAAACAATCCTCAGTCGGCTGCTAATTGCAGTGATTTCCCACCGTTGTCCCGGTGAGATTGGATGATATCACCGAGGTTTGGCCAGCTTGCGGCGATGATCGCGCAAAATCCAGGGATGATGGCCCATGTCTTAGCCTTTGCTGAAAAGCTCGCAATTCTTGACCATTACCCATGACGGATCCATGGTGCTGCTATATATGGTAACATGGATCCCATCAATATATCCCAAATGTTAGCATAACCATACATGGATCCTATGGGTTATGAGTTTCTCACACATGCTGCTACTGAACTCGTATGTATTTCATGCCGTTCCCCCAGGACCAAGTGATGCGAGGTGTTCAACAGACTCATCCTGAAATTGCGCAGGCAGAGCGCATGCACGGAAGCAATTTACGATAATTTGCGTGAATCTCTCTCTGGACTAAAGTCGTGACTTTGATGAGGAAAACGGTTCAAAACGAGCAAAGATAGAACGTCACTTTCATTCATCAATATTCATCTTATAGTCATCCGTTCCAAGGAATCATCCTCAAAATCCTCATCCTCGACTTTCAAACATTTTTTTTTTCCATGGTACATAGGATGTCATCCTTCCCAGTGACGAACTATGACGAACTCATATTTTTCAAGTTTTTTCTGTTGCACCACCAACCAGCCGACAGTGTCCAGCAAAGTCCCCCGGTTGAGGCGATCCAGGAGCATCCAGATGCCTTCATGAGGCTTTTGCAGGAAGCCACTGGAGGAGCACTACAGCCGCAGGCTTTTCTGGGCAATGTTTAAAGTCTTGGTCAGCCAACTGGTCATAGCAGCTAATTATAGCAGCTATATTAGGCCATAGTAACAATTTCAGTACCATACACGACCACAGCAATGCATCAAATGCTGATTTTAAGGATCTCCCAGGTTGGCTGACTCTTGCTGCACGGGCTCAAGTTTCTGTTGGATTTCCAGCTCGCAAAACAATGTCTGAAAGCATCGCAAAAGTCGTGTTTATCCGACACGGAGAGAGCCAGGGCAATGCCAAAAATGTCTATACTGGCTGGGATGATACGCCTTTGAGCATCAAGGGAGAGCAGGAAGCAGAAGAAGCTGGACTTTGTTTGAAAGCAAAAGGCCTCAAATTTGACATCTGTTTTACCTCAGCCCTCCAGTTGCTTGGCAAGTCTGGGAAATCCAAGCTAAAAGGCCTGTCATTGACACACACACACACACACAATTTGACATGTTATTTTTCAATTTTGTGTTGATAGTGGGTCTGGCTTCCCCCACGTTTCCACTAACAGCCCCACTTTTAAAGGGGCAAAGGGGCATTTTTTCGCTTCCAATGCATGGGGACCCCATTCCAAATTCAGGGAGAGGCGGTACAATTATATAATATTATATCAAATCCTGTAGGTTGTTATTTGGTTTCTACATTCATCATCAATTAATCACTCAACTGGGTTTGTCTGAAAATTGGGATACCCCAGTTTATGGCTAGTTTAGTAGGAAAATGACCGGAAAAAAATTGTAGGGGATTGTCATTGAGATCTCAGTGGCACTAGGCCCTCTTCACATTTCTTTCATGAAAGATAATTTGGCGACTGAAGTGATTGAAACGGAGAAAAACATGTTCTTTTTTTTTTGTGAAGCAATATCCATTTACCCAATTACCAACATCCATTTACCCAGTTACATCAGTTACATCGTGATGTTCAGTGACTGGTAGTGGTCGGGTGATCGCCATCATCGTCTCCCATCGACCAAAGCAAAGGCGGGCGACCAAAACCGCCGAGCGCGTGCTGAAAGTCTCAGGCAACAGCTCCGTTCAGGTCGCCTGGTCCAGCAAGAAGGGGGAGTTTTCACCAAAAAAAATGCGGGTTCCAACGGGTTCCATAGTCATGGGGGTACCCCAATAGCTGGTTCACAATTTCTAATTCATGGAAAATCCAAAAATAAATTGGATGATTTAGGGATATTTAGGGGTATCCCCATTTTTAGACCTCAAACTTGGATTTGAGTATATGGAAATTACCCAACTATGGGATGCGCCCAAGGAAGTAATTTTGATAAGGCACATGATGTTCTAAACTTTCAAAAGTCGACAAAACCCCATTCAGATTGATACTTTCGGTTATTCCAAACCATTCACTGGATTTCGGTTAGAGTCTCACCAAGCAAGAATCCTTAGCTTTTACCATTAAATATACAAGTTTCTGGTTTCAATTTTCCCTTACACCATTTTTGCGACATTTTGCAACACTTGATTTTCCTGAAAGATCTGGATAACCATAAACCATCATAAACCATCATTATCGTGATGATTTTCCCAACGTAACCCATCACCCACGGTAAAACCTTGGTATTTTCCCATCTTTTCCACGATTTCCCCGTATTTTTCCGTGGAAAACTGGCACCCGATGATCCCTTAGGGAACGTCCCAGGTGGACAAGAGTTGGAAGCTCAACGCACGCCACTCGGGTGGCCTTCAAGGTTTGACCCAGGCCGAAGCCGTGGAGCGTTACGGGGAATCCAAGGTCACCCTGTGGAGAAGTCCCTTGGAATGAAAAAGCCAGGGGATTTCCCATGGGAAAATGGGGGAAGTTCATGGGATATAGGGATCTAATAGGATTATGTACTTTGCATATATATATATATATATATATATATGTAGATAGATAGATAGATGGATGGATGGATAGATAGATAGATAGATCGATAGATCGATAGATCGATAGATCGATAGATAGATAGATAGATAGATAGATCGATAGATAGATAGATAGATGGATAGATAGATAGATCGATAGATCGATAGATCGATAGATAGATAGATAGTTAGATAGATAGATCGATAGATAGTTAGATAGATAGATCGATAGATCGATAGATCGATATAGCTAGATAGATGGATAGATAGATGGATAGATAGATGGATAGATAGATGGATAGATAGATGGATAGATAGATGGATAGATAGATTGATAGATGGATAGATAAATAGATGGATAGATAGATGGATAGATCGATAGATCGATAGATCGATAGATCGATAGATAGATAGATAGATAGATCGATAGATAGATAGATAGATGGATAGATAGATAGATAGATAGATCGATAGATCGATAGATAGATAGATAGTTAGATAGATAGATCGATAGATAGTTAGATAGATAGATCGATAGATCGATAGATCGATATAGCTAGATAGATGGATAGATAGATGGATAGATAGATGGATAGATAAATAGATAGATAGATAGATAGATAGATAGATGGATAGATAGATGGATAGATAGATGGATAGATAGATGGATAGATAGATAGATAGATAGATAGTCATCCCCAAATAGATGGACAAGTAAATCCCTACTAATTTGATGGTGATAAAAACTTTTCGAAAATGGTGATGTACCCAGCGATGATTTTTGGATATATCCAACCCTGTGAGATGGGGATATAATGGTGATCCAATAGGATTAATTAAACAACAACATGATCTGTGTCTGAGATTGGGGGATTGGACCCTCAATTCATGTCATGATGATGGTTGATGGATGATGGATGATGATTGGGTGATGATGACGGATGATGGTTAATAACTAGTAGAGAAAATCAATGATCCATCCTCATCCAACCATCATTCATCATCATCATCATCATACCATGATTGTATATTAACATCATCGGCTACCATCATGGTTGTTTCAATGGTTAATATACAATCATGTGCGAAAGCATCAAATATGGGGGTGCCGATTGTCGCCGATCGTCAGACAGCCAGCCAAGTGATCCGGTGATGTGGGGAAGCAGCGAAGCCAATGGGTTTTTGAGATATCATTTTTTCCAACGACCAAAATTAGGGGTTTTGGAAAATCATTTTGGAATCTTAGTTTTTATGTTTGTTGTTGATGAGATAGGTATTAGTGGGATCATTAACCATCCGGAAGATCTTGGAGATCGAATTGGGGATACCTGCGCTGCAAGACACTCCGGAAAAAAACCCATGATTTGGTCAAAGAACTATGACTTGGACATAGCACATGAACCTACCTGCAATCATGACTCTGAATGATTTTCGTATTTGTCAGGGAGGTAAAAATAGTGTTTCTAGATAGTGTTTTTAAATCCCTGGTATTTTAGGCCTAGAAATGCGCACTTAGCCTAGTTATAGATGATTGCCATTGAAATGCCCATGGCTAGTTCGGGGATTTCCCCAGCAGCCCACCATGTTAGTTCAGAGACCTTATATAAGGTATACCTTCTGGTCATTTAACATAGCTAAAATTGCCATTTATAGATATTTATATTTGATTTACTTACCTACATTAAGAATGATTTTCCATAGAAAGTGCTGTATTGGATTTACCTATATCAGTGATTTTTCCACAAACTCTTCGTTACCTCTTCGGGTCGCCATGTTTCGTGAACGGCTCAGGTAGCTATGATATTCTCCCTGCCTGTGTTGAGCACTCAGCCTCTCGGAGCAATTTACATAGTCATGCTGCTATAGTAATATAATATAATGATAATTATTTATTATATAAATTGCATATATATATATATACAGAGTATATATATATTAAGTATACATAGTTGTATATATACTGAGCCACAGTCAAAAATATATGTATCTAGAGTTATACTAAATTTGAATCTATATTTCACGGTAGTCATAGAACAACAGCTGGGAATTGCACCTCAATTTCTCCTAGGATCCAAGACATCCAGTACACGACCCGAAGTACGCGGGAGTGGCTCCAGAGCTGTTACCCCCCGGGGGAGAGTCACTGGCGTGCACAGTGAAGCGGGTGGTACCACACTGGAAGGACCAAATTTTTTTCAAGATGCAAAAGCCAACCGAGGTTAATGATGGTTAATAGTGGTTAATGATGGATCGATTATTAACCATCATTAACCATCATTAACCACAGAATTTCCGGTTGACATTTTCTCTTGCACAAAAAACAAATCTGTTGGAGGGTGGACAGCTAGCAAACACATCCCCAAACACTGCTTGAACGGTAGATGTTGGTGGTGTTTGCTGGTTTGCTCCCCCCATGGTGACAAAAATGAAAACCTCTTGCTGAGACTCAATGATTAATTGTCCACTTCCCTTGATGAACGGTCACAAACTTTTCTGTATTTCTCCAGTACCCGTGGCTTTTCAGCAGGAGAAGATAGTGCCTCGCATTAGAGCTGGAGATTCAGTGATGGTGGCAGCGCACAAGAACTCACTTCGAGCCCTGTGGAAACATCTTGAGACGCTTAAGTCAGTACTATCATGACATGTCATGACTCTCTGAAGGTAGTATCACATGCACTCAGCACAAACGTGCTGCACTTTCAGTCTACCCTCTGGTAATTTAACATAGCTATTGAAAATGGCCATTTATAGATGATTTACCCACTAAAAATGGTGATTTGCCATATATAGTTATGTTTGTTTACCAGAGGGTAATTTTAACCTCCAACATCCTTCAACATCCTTCAACATCGCCCGGATCTTCCCAGGAATGTTCCAGATGAAGATGCTCTTGACATCAAGATGATGCCTGCGAGCGCCCCCCTGGTGATTGAGTTCCAGATTCCACCTGTCGGAGATGATCTGATTTTCTTGAGAAAGTACAGTTTGAACGCTCCAACATTTAATCCGAAGGCGCGATAGAACGCAGCATTTTCATCCATTTTCACAATGCAAGGCGTTTAGCAGATGATTTTGACATACTAAGATTGAAAAGAGATGAACAGAGTTTAGCACTTTGAGTGTAGCCCCCACGAAAAGATCAGACTCCTAGCGAACGGACATTCAGAATCAGCCAGGTTCGCATTGATTCCTTGTCCAATGGAGTCACAAACAAGGCAGGACCTGATTGCAGTTGACCTGCAGATACCTGCAGTATGTGGCATGGTCAAAGGATGATCTACCGATATCCACCCCATTTTTTTGGGGGTCATACAACTATCGGACATTACATACTGTACCCCATATGCGAACCATGGTGCTGGAATATGAATCCCAACATTTGCCCCATTTTTATGACCCAGTTTTGTAGGTAAATATTCCAGCACCATGGAGCACATGGGTACCTGTAATGGCCAAGACAAAGATTCCCCAATCAATCATGATGGGATGACCATAGCCCATCCCATGTCACTTGACCATGGCACATACCTGGTAATAGATTGGTTTTTTCCAATCCGTTTTCAAAAAACTTGGTTTTTGACCATTTTGAAGAAACAAAACTACTCTGGAACGGTGTTTTTTTCCAATACGAACGCCCTTTTACGCCCCATAATGCTTCCGAACGCTTTTTTGCACCCCGTAATGCTTTTCCTTGTAAAAAGACGAAATCATACCATTTCAGATCTTGAAAATTCCTTCATTTTGCGAAACATGTTACGAACGGTTTTGAACGGTTTTTGAACGCTTTTTGAACGCTCTTGAACGCGAACGCTTTTTTTTACGCAATTCGGTTTGAACGGTTCTTTTACGCTCTGTGTTTTTTGTTATTTTTCCTTTTTTGTGATTTTCCTCGAAAAAACTCTTTAAAGTATTTTAAACTATTATTTTGAAATCATGTATTTGCTGATCGGAAATAGACCCCCAAATACAAGAACAGATCCGAACAGTAAAAAAGTGCTCTAGAGCACTTTTTTCCAATCCGTTTCCCAAACATATTGTTTTTTAGAAACAGATCATTTTTTTTTCAATCTAAGGATGTACCAGGTATGTTACACCTGAGATGCTCAGACAATGTATATTTTGGAGGTGAAGCGAGTTGATATGCTTATTAGTTATATAAAATTGGTCATAACAGAATATATTCCGATGTCGCCTTTAGATCCACTTTTCAAATCACCTCTGGAATTCCTTTTCTGCGTATCTACATGTTGATCCAAAAATCACAGTGATCGAATGTGATTGATGGCTTGAAGTCTTGATCTTTAAGTCATCATGTTTCGTGTCGCAAATAATGCTGCCTGTTTTCCCCCTATGGGCCCCCTGTGGCCCTGACATTGCCGAGGTGTTCTTCCTGCGGCATGCTGAAAGTCTGGGCAACGCCAAGGGCATTTATGGCGGGTGGGAGGATGCTGCCCTGAGCATGAAAGGCGAGCAACAGGCAGTTCAGGCGGGAGGCTACGGGCGATGTTTTGGAATGGCATGGAATGGCCATCAATCTGAGACAGCTCCGGTTGGTAGAATTCTTTACAGGTGAAACATGGTGAAACATGGTGAAACTGATCCACTTTGCATATCTTTGCACCATATCACAGCGGGCGAGGCTGGATTGCTGTTGAAGCAGCAAGGCGTGACCATCACCCATGTGTTCACGTCCGTGTTACAGAGAGCAGCCAGAGCCTTACAGGACAGTCTGACAGATGTGGTGGAAAAAGTGGATGTAGATGTGGTGAAAAAAGTGGATGTTGGGATGTGTCAAAACCTAGGGCATGAGCTTCCATAAAGCTCCTTTGCTGTGAAAACCAGGGTTTTGATGGGTTTTGACCCATAGATATGCAAGCAAGACGTGGTTTGTCTGAAAACGGAGTACTGTACACCCAATCCCAAAGGATTCAAACCTCCTTTTTTGCAAGTCAATGCCCTCCTTGATGAGTGCTTAAACCACTAAGGTCAAGACAGCTGAGCTGGTGTGTGGAGCCTCTGACAACGAGGATGTGCCCACGACTCGTGCATGGCAACTGAACCCTGGCCACTCAGGGGTCCTTCAGGCGATTTGGAGTGCATAGCGATCCAAGGAAAATATACAGGAAATGCCACTGTGGTTTGTTGACATTTTTTAACCATGAAATTTGGGGTGCCCTGTAAATATCTTCCCTTAAAATTCACTACCAATCAGATGATAACTCACCGATTTTGCCACGTTTCCGACATCAGTGCAGGGCCTGACGGAAGTGGAAGCTTTTGAGATGTATGGCGAAGAGAAGGCTGCGGTGTTGGGCCATTCTTCCTCTTTAACGAAACATACTCCATGGCCACCCATGGCCCATCAGACCTCTGAAATATCTGAATCATTCTTAGTCACAAGCTGGTTGGTGGTTTGGAACATTTTTTTTCCATATCTTGGGAATGTCATCATCCCAATTGACGAACTCATATTTTTCAGAGGGGTAGGTCAACCACCAACCAGATTACTATTAACCATCATTAACCATATAATAACCATCATCATTAACCAGTAACAGTATATCGATGCCATCGGACCGATCGGTATTTTTGAACGGCCGAGCTGACCCCTTTTCGCAGGTCAAACATTGGAGATCCAGTGACACTGAGCTCAAAATAGCGATTTTCTAGACACTGGATGAATCTTGCTACAGGCCGCTTTCTGTGATGTTTCTGTTAAGTATTAGTGTGTTTGAAGACTTGAATAACATGTTTTATCATGTTTCCATTTTTTGGGATTTACCATTGGCGTCAAGAAAATTCACTCATTGGCACTTAAGTGGATGACCTAGGATGATGTGAAGCCTGAAAGCGTCGACTTGAAAGATCCCAGACACCCAGCGAATGACAAGCTCTATGCCGAAGTGCCAGTGGAAGAACTTCCAGGTGGCGAGTCACTTCACATGACAGCTGAGACTTGCCATGCAATCAGTCATCGGATCGTGTGCATGTAGGTTGTCACTGGTTGTCACTGGTTGTCATTCAGATTTGTTTTGACATGGGAATCCAAACAATCTGTTCACCTACAAGTGCTTCTGAATGGCAACCTACAGTTGCTTCACCCATTGTATTCAAATTGTAGGTAAGTCTTGGCACTTTGTTTTTGAACACCAAAAGCCGTGCACCACTGCACAGCGGCCTGGCAACCAGCCATTGCCGTGAAAGGCACGCGTGTGGCCTTACTGGACCAACAACATTGCGCCAATGTTGACAGGCGAGCAGATGCGGCTGGGCTGGGTTGTTTCAAGGGCTGGTACCGTTATTCCAAGGGGAAAATCCATCGTGTTCCCAATGAACATTGGCATATCAGTAAATTTGGGGGTAGATCCCCCAGTCTTGGACAGAACCCTAACGTTTCTAGGCTCACCCTTCCGATACCTTCCCAAGTCTTCCCATGTCAATCCCCGAATTGATAAACCCTGCTTGTTGAATTGCCTACCAGGCCTACCATTTCAATATCAATGTATCACTATTTCGGGGGAACCCCCTCATTAATCAACATGAATCAAGCAAGGCTTAGCCTCATTCAGCTCTTGCCCTGGTCAGGCGAGCGGAACATTTTGGTGGTGGCGCATCGGGACTCGCTGAGAGCACTGTTTGGTCATTTGGAGGCTGTGGAAGCGGCCACCGTCTTCGATGGAACGTCGCAGACAGCTCCATTGGTATATGAGTTTGGCAACTCAGAACAACTTCCAGCCGGGATGAGACCAGAATGGTAAAACCCCGCCAAAAAGGGATAATTTAGTAGACTTAAAGGGTACCCCGGGGGCCCCGGGAATGTGAAACAGCCTAGGTGTTTCATAATCCGGGGTTGACACTAGTGAATTGCAAGGATTCTGAAGATCAAACGGGGCTTCTTTTTTTCTTGGTCGTGCAGCTGGATGCAGCTTTTTTTCGAGGTAATGACGGAACCTTCTTCAAAAAATACAGTCTCAGTACGATGAGTCCAGAGTTGGGTCTCAGTCCAAAGCATCTGGGACTTCTTCGATTTCATAATCAGCCGGGTGTGGACTATGAGAAGGTTGGCCAGGTGCCGACAGAGATTGCGAATTGAACAAGTGATAGAACTTAAGTTGTAAAATCATGTAAAATCATATAACCATGTCCAACTGACCTTTCGCATAGTTGTTTCAAATGTTTTACTGTACATCTTAGATCATCTCAGTTGGTAGATGGTTTATCCCATTATAATCCCATTATTTACAGTGTTTCATACTACCTTTGGAAAATTCGAATCGATGACCGTTTCTGCAACGGGACCTCATGCACCGACCCGGCCACCAGTTGTGTCCCGCTGCGCCATGCTGCACCGCTGGGAGGTGGTTTTCCTCCGTCATGGAGAAAGCGAATGCAATCTGAAAGAGCAGTTCACCGGCTGGGAGGATTCTGGAATGACACCGAAAGGTTTTGAACAAGCACGAAAAGCTGGAAAATATTTGAAAGATCACGGTTTTCAATTCGACATTGTCTTCACCTCCGTGCTCAGTCGAGCCATTGAATCGGCTGTGTTGATTTGCGAAGACTCGGAAAACAAAGATGTGCCGATTGAGAAGGCATGGCAACTCAATGCACGACACCCTGGAGTGTTGCAAGGCTTGACGAAAGAGGTTGCTGTGAGTTTCTGATTGGTGGTTTGGAACATTTTGTATTTTTCCATATATTGGGAATGTCATCATCCCAACTGACGAACTCCATCATTTTTCAGAGGGGTGGGTTGGTCAACCACCAACCAGGTTTATACGGAAAAGAAAAGGTGAATATTTGGAGAGGCAGCTATGACGTGATGCCAGAGTGTGTTGGATTGGATGATAATCGCCATCCTGTCAACAATCCGAGCCCTGGCAAATCAGGGCATCCGGGATGCGGCTAGAGATGCTGGGAGGCTCTTGCAGGAGTTTGACCTATATTATCTATATGGTAAACTGATGTAAAATGATGTAACATGTAATTATGTGTTTAGTTATGTTTAGTTCATTTTGCTTCTACATTTAGTGTTCCTGCATCCAGAGATTTCAAGTTGTCGTTGGGCTTTGTCACTAGTGACATCTAGTGACTATGTCCAAAGAATAGGAATCATAGGAATCATTGCGCCCCTTTTTTTTATTGTGAAGCGCTATTTTATAGGCCCAGAATCCAATGTGATGAGGGTGTGACCACGTGTGATCCATGCATCGCCTTTCGAGTCGAGGCTTTACAGCGGCATTCCCAAGCGAGAGCTTCCCCCGGGTGGTGAGTCCCTGGCGCGGACCGTGGATCGCATCGTCCCCTACTGGAGAAGAAGAGACTTGACCGATTTGGAGCTGGGACGATGGGACGATGGCATTATGGCATTCCTATGGCGGAATGTACCCCCAATGATGGTTATGTTATGGGTAAAACATGGGTAAAACTATGGGTAAAACCCCCATGATGCTTATGGATGGTTATATAATATGTTATGTTCTTGAAATATGGATGGTTTTGGGAGATGGCTTACCTCAATTTTCGGCAATTCTCATAGTCCATCCTGGGAGTCCTGGTCTCACTTAACCAGTATCTTTCTATGTCACGCCAAGTTTGAATGGTAGCTGCCAAACTTTATCCTAATGTTCAGAAGTGCTTGTTGTGTGTGTGCTTCAAGCGTGTCTCCACATTTTGGCATTGCCTTGTGAAAAAGGTATCTTCTCTCCACTCAGATGACGCAGATTCATGTTTTTGCCCTGGAAAATCATCAAAAGCTGCTGAACAGAGCCGCCAGTAGGATTTTGTGATGTACGCCAACGCGCGTCAGGTATTGCTCCACATATCAAAGCTGGCAAATCTGTTCTGGTGGTGGGGCACAAGAACTCCCTAAAGGCACAGATCTCGATCTGACGCTTGTTTAATGTAACGTTTAACACTGAGATTCGGTCCTGACTGTTCAATCATCCAAGGGCAGAATTTGGTTTGACATACCCTCTGGTAAACTAACAAAACACTATTGAAAATGGCCATAGAAATAGTGGATTTTCCCATTAAAACTGGTGATTTTCCATAGCTATATTAAATTACCAGAGGGTAATGATACCATGTTCACCCTTCGCCTAGCTTCGCCCCTGACCAGGCCTTGTTCATGTATTTAGAAGATACTTCAGAACACGACATGTTCGATGTGAAGCCTGTGTCTGCGACAGCGCCTTTAGTCATGGAATTCGGAAGGTGCAATTTCAGCGATCGCTTGATGATTCTCAAAAAGTATTTTGTCAAACATACGACTGAGGAGGGACTAGCTTTGAGCCGCTGCAAAGATGGCTCATTCCACAAGTAACATCAAGTAGTTCAGTAGTTTGTGCCAATGGAAGTAGCATGAAGTCGGTGAGCTTCCAGGCCGTTTCTAGAAAATGTATTTTAATTCTTGATGTCTCACAAGTCTGGGCCACGGAAACGGTGTCGCAAGCCGAAACCTACAGCAGTGCTGCGACGCTTATATATTTTATACTAGCGCCAGGAGTTTAATGAACTCGGCAGGGTTTCATAAGTTTAAAGCGAAGAACGTACAGAAGGCTCAGGGTGTGGAAAAGCTGTGGTGCGCAATCATTTGCAATGTCAACAACCAGATTTATCCAGATGTTCGCAACTCGTTTCGCAAGGACAGATGGATGGGTTTGATTCCTGTTGGGTTGATATCGATGTTTCCAACATCCAATTTTCAGACTAATTGTAATTAAAAAGCAACATAGTTCGTTAAATGTAGTAGATTATAGTTTAGATAAATCTGTAATTACATAATATTACATTATATGCTTGCACATATGTATATATATATATATATATGTATATATATATGTATATATATATATATATATATGTGGAGGGGACCTTTATGTATAGAATGACGGGGTTCTGAAACCACAATACTGGCACCTGCAGCTCACTTTTTTGGGAAACAAATGTTCTCACAAATGAACATGGGTCAAATTTTAAGACTTGAGGGATCACAGGTTTTTAGTTATTGTCAGGTGAAGGTCTCTAGACTTCTCCACAGCTTCTTGCCCTCCCCCCTCTCCACCTACAAAGGAGAAAGACGTAGAAAGGGGGTGAAGCAGGTGGAAAGTTGTGGGTGGAAGGGTAGGTGGAAGGGGTGGATACGGTTGGAGAGGTTGGGTGAAGATGATGCTAGGGTGATGCGAGGGTGGAGCGAGGTTGGAGCGATGGTGGAATGAAGGGTGGGGTGTGGAGAAGGTGATCAAAAATTGATACCAAGTACAAGGATACATCTACTGTATTTATTCACATCCTTTGCGCGATCCACTCCTTGGGATTCTCTTCTTCCCTTTTCACTTTCCAGCGGCTTTTTCTCTTCTCTCCCCCTCTCCACCCTTCTACATGTCCATCTCCGCTCAATACCCTCATTCCTCTTTCCGAAAAGAATCTTAGGGGCAGAAAGTGTGGAGAGGAGTGAGCAGGGATGGAAAGCGGAGAGAATTAAATGAAGTTGGGGTGATGGGCGGGGTCACGATGAAGAGTTGGGCGGTGGGCGTAGCGAAAGGCAGATGGATGGAGAAAAAGAACATGTACATCAAATAGATGCAAGCAATTCATCCTGACTGCTTTCTTATCTAGCCGTTTCTTTCTTCAAAACTACTTTAAAGTTCAATTGTGATTGCCTTTTCCAGCTCCATCTTATATTTGCTTGCAAAGATCAAAATTAAAATGTATGTCTACTTTCTTTTTTGGACATACTTTTCAATGTGCATTGGAACAAGCCTCTTAAGACATGATTCAAAAGCAGCAGTGCCATTACAAAGCATAGGGTGGACTAAGGCATTTTGCCTCTCAGGCAATGTAAAAGTGCATGCTTTTCGTTGCTTTTTCTGTGAGGGGGGAGCGAGGGCGGAGCGAGGGTGGAGTGAAGGGTGAAATGAAGGGTGGAGTGAAGGGCTGAGAAGGTCGCCAAAAATTGATACAAACGATAAACGATGCATATTTATTTCGTTTTTTGCTTGATCCACTGCTTGTGCTCCTTCCCTTGCCTTTTCACTTCTCCGCAAACTTGTTCTCTTCCATCCCCCTCTCCACCCTTCTACATGTTCATCTCTGCCTCCACTCAACACCTTCATTCCTGTTCTGAAGATAAGGTGCTAGGGGACAAAGGGGTGAAGAGGAGTGAGCATGCATGGAAAGCGGAGAGGGTTAAATGAAGTTGGGGTGATGGGCAGGGTCGCGATGAAGGGTTGGGCGGTGGGGTGTAGTGAAAGGCAAATGGGTGGAGAGAAACAAAAATACGATACATACATAAACAGTTCATCCGGAACGGAAAATGCAAAAAAAATGCAACTTCCAACTTGCGACGTTGCATTTTCTCCGCTGCATTTTTTTGCAATTTTGATCAACTTTTGTATTGTTTTTACGAAAAAAAAACGTAAAAAATGCAAACAAAAATGCAACGGCACCAAAACAAATGCAACGGAGAATGCGAAAAAATGCAACTTCCAAAGTTGCATTTTCTGAGTTGCATTTTTTTTGCAAATTGCGACGTCGCATTTTCTTAGCTGATTTTTTTCCTTTTCGAAACTTGCGACATTGCATTTTCTAATTTGCTTGTATTTGGAAAGCTCCTCCAACAAGCAACACATTTAGGGGCTGGCAAACTGAGAAAAATCTCACTCCCAACCCTGAGTCTCCAAAACTAGTAAATTAACTAATTTAGTAAATTTACTAAAAGGGAAGAATTTACGTATTTTTTTCTCCAGTTTTCTTGATGTTAGTAAATTTTGTGAAAAACCAAAAGTGCATCATAGTGCATCAAAAGTGCATCGACCGTGCATTTTTTTCTTAGCATGTTTGATTGAAATTGTGATTTTGTAACACAAATGCAGCAGCATTTTTTAGATTTAGTGAATGTTGTTTTAGTTCACAATGTGACAATCCAATTTTTCCATAACAAAGGATTGGTTTTGTCACATACTTGTATGTTTAATGGATATGGCCAAGTAAAGCCAGAATCTTTGCAAGTGACCAGTCACGTAAGGACTTTTTATAGATTGCCAAAAGTAAAGTCAATATTCTCAGCACAACCCATCTCAAGTAAATTCTCTGATGGAAACATGTCTACCCTAAGTCTCCAAAGCTAGTAATTTCACTAATTTAGCAATTTTACTGATCCAGAAGATTTTGCATAATTTTTTTTGTGGATTTTTGCAGACTTAGTAAAATGTAAAAAACAAAGGAAACGTGCATCAAAAGTGCATCAAGAATGCGCCAAAAGATGTGTGATAGCTTTTCCGAATTTCCGTGAATCTGATAGTGGAGACAGAAGGAATGTCCAAATGTTGTGAGGAATGTGAAGAAATTAGCATGTGGAACCTGTATAAGTTTATGTCCTTTGAGTCCTTTGCTGCAAAATGTAAATACCATGAAAGAAAAACAACATTTCTCCCAGTGACTTCTCAGGTAAAAGTAGATGTTCTGAAGTAAAGTCATCTTCGCAAACGATTTCTGAAGAAAAAAAAAAATGAAATAAATTCAATGTAATACATATTGAAGGTATATACTTGACGTTATTTTGGCTCGTTGGCTTTTGCGGTTTCTTGGTTTTTGCATTTTTTTACTTTTGAGTTTATTTGCATGCTTTTGTGAGAGGAATTGACATATGTTTTCAACAAGTGTCCTAATTAGCACTTTTTTGGGCTCTGAAAACAGTATTTCAGGACACTTGTTGAAACCTATTCTCCCACTATATCTACTTGATTTGTGTTTCACCACGTTTTCCATGACTGTCACGGTTCTGCCTCAACATACGTTCCATATGGTCACAAGATGCATGTTGCCCAGTATTTTTCTCAGCCAAATCTTCTCCACGCGGACCTCCAAAATAAAATAAACATAATAAAAAAATAAAAAATAAATAAAATAGATATTTATTTTATTTATTTTATTTATTAAAATTTGGAGCTCCTGAGAAAATAAATAAAATAAATAAAATAAATATTTATTTTATTTATTTTTTTTATTTTCTCCGGAGCTCCAAATTTTTATAAATAAAATATAAAAAAAATATATTTATTTTCTCAGCCAAATCTTCTCCACACAAACCTCAAAAATAAAATAAATAAAATAAATTAACTAAACAAAATTAAAAAAATAAATAAAATGAATATTTATTTTATTTATTTTATTTATTAAAATTTGGAGCTCCTGAGAAAATACATAAAATAAATAGAATAAATATTTATTCTATTTATTTTATTTATTAAAATTTAGAGCTCCTGAGAACATAAATAAAATAAATAAAATAAATATTTATTTTATCTATTAAATTTGTGAGCTCCTGAGAAAATAAATAAAATAACTAAAATAAATATTTATTTTATTTATTTATTTATTTTCTCAGAAGCTTTGAAATTTAATAATCAAATAAATAAAATAAACATTTATCTTCTCAGCCAAATCTTCTCCACACAGACCTCCAAAATAAAATAAATAAAATAAATAATTATTTTATTTATTTTATTTATTAAAATTTGGAGCTCCTGAGAAAATAAATAAAATAAATAAAATAAATATTTATTTTATTTATTAAAATTTGGAGCTCCGGAGAAAATAAATAAAAAATAAAATAAATATTTCTTTTATTTATTTTATTTATTAAAATTTGGAGCTCCGGAGAAAATAAATAAAATAAATAAAAGAAATATTTATTTTCTCAGCCAAATTTCTCCACACAGACCTCCAAAATAAAATAAATAAAATAAATAAAATAAATAAAATAAATAAAATAATTATTTATTTATTTTATTTATTAAAATTTGGAGCTCCTGAGAAAATAAATAAAATAAATAGAATAAATAATTATTTTGTTAATTTATTTATTAAAATTTGGAGCTCCTGAGAAAATAAATAAAATAAATTTATTTTCTCCGAAGCTCCAAATTTTAATAAATAAAATAAATAAAATAAATAATTATTTTCTCAGCCAAATCTTCTCCACACAGACCTCCAAAATAAAATAAATAAAATAAATAAAATAAATAAAATAAATAAAATAAATAAAATAAATATTTATTTTATTTATTTTATTTATTAAAAATTTGGAGCTCCTGAGAAAATAAATAAAATAAATAAAATAAATATTTAGTTTATTTATTTTATTAAAATTTGGAGCTCCAGAGAAAATAAATAAAATAAATAAAATAAATATTTATTTTATTTATTTTATCTATTTTTTTTGTTTTATTTATTTTATTTATTTTATTTATTAAAATTTGGAGCTCCGGTGAAAATAAATAAAAAATAAAATAAATATTTATTTTATATATTTTATTTATTTTCTCCGGAGCTCCAAATTTTAATAAATAAAATAAATAAAATAAATATTTATTTTCTCAGCCAAATCTTCTCCACACAGACCTTCAAAATAAAATAAATAAAATAAATAAAATAAAGAAAATAAATAAAACAAATAAAATAAATATTTATTTTATTTATTTTATTTATTAAAATTTGGAGCTCCTGAGAAAATAAATAAAATAAATAAAATAAATATTTATTTTATTTATTTAATTATTAGAATTTAGAGCTCCTGAGAAAATAAATAAAATAAATAAAATAAATATTTATTTTATTTATTTTATTTATTAAAATTTGGAGCTCTGGAGAAAATAAATAAAATAAATAAACTAAATATTTATTTTATTTATTTTATTCTATTTATTTTATTTAGTTTGTTTTGGAGGTCTGCGTGGAGAAGATTTGGCTAAGAAAATAAATATTTATTTTATTTATTTTATTTATTAAATTTTGAAGCTTCTGAGAAAATAAATAAAATAAATAAAATAAATATTTATTTTATTTATGTTATTTATTTTCTCCGGAGCTCCAAATTTTAATAAATAAAATAATAAAATAAATATTTATTTTATTTATTTTATTTAATTTCTCAGGAGCTCCAAATTTTAATAAATAAAATAAATATTTATTTTATTTTTAATTTTTTCTCAGAAGCTTCAAATTTTAAAAAAATAAATAAATAAATATTTATTTTCTCAGCCAAATCTTCTCCACACAGACCTTCAAAATAAAAATAAATAAAATAAATAAAATAAATAAAATAAATAATTATTTTATTTATTTTATTTATTAAAATTTGGAGCTCCTGAGAAAATAAATAAAATAAATAAAATAAATATTTATTTTATTTATTTTATTTATTAAAATTTAGAGCTCCTGAGAAAATAAATAAAATAAAAAAAATAAATATTTATTTTATTTATTTTATTTATTTTATTTATTTTATTTATTTTGTTTTGGAGGTCTGCGTGGAGAAGATTTGGCTAAGAATATAAATATTTATTTTATTTTATTTATTTATTAAATTTTGAAGCTTCTGAGAAAATAAATAAAATAAATAAAATAAATATTTATTTTATTTATTTTATTTATTAAAATTTGGAGCTTCTGAGAAAATAAATAAAATAAATAAAATAAATAATATAAATATTTATTTTATTTATTTTATTTATTAAAATTTAGAGCTCCTGAGAAAATAAATAAAATAAATAAAATAAATATTTATTTTATTTATTAAAATTTGGAGCTCCGGAGAAAATAAATAAAATAAATAAAATAAACATTTATTTTATTTATTTTATTTATTTTATTTATTTTGTTTTGGAGGTCTGCGTGGAGAAGATTTGGCTAAGAAAATAAATATTTATTTTATTTATTTTATTTATTAAATTTTGAAGCTTCTGAGAAAATAAATAAACTAAATAAAATAAATATTTATTTTATTTATTTTATTTATGAAAATTTGGAGCTCCTGAGAAAATAAATAAAATAAATAAAATAAAATAAATAATTATTTTATTTATTTTATTTATTAAAATTTGGAGCTCCTGAGAAAATAAATAAAATGAATATTTATTTTATTTATTTTATTTATTAAAATTTGGAGCTCCGGAGAAAATAAATAAAATAAATAAAATAAATATTTATTTTATTTATTTTATTTATTTTATTTATTTTATTTATTTTATTTATTTTATTTTGGAGGTCTGCGTGGAGAAGATTTGGCTGAGAAAATAAATATTTATTTTATTTATTTTATTTATTAAAATTTGGAGCTCCTGAGAAATTAAATAAAATAAATAATATAAATATTTATTTTATTTATTTTATTTATTAAAATTTGGAGCTCCTGAGAAAATAAATAAAATAAATAAAATTAATATTTATTTTATTTATTTTATTTATCAAAATTTAGAGCTCCTGAGAAAATAAATAAAATAAATAAAATATTTTTTTATTTTATTTTTTGTAGTTATTAAAATTTGGAGCTCCGGAGAAAATAAATAAAATAAATAAAATGAATATTTATTTTTTTTATTTTATTTATTTTATATATTTTATTTATTTTTATTTTTATTTATTTTCTCAGCCATATCTTCTCCACACAGACCTTCAAAATAAAATAAATAAAATAAATAAAATAAATAAAATAAATAATTATTTTATTTACTTTATTTTTTAAAATTTGGAGCTCCTGAGAAAATAAATAAAATAAATAAAATAAATATTTATTTTATTTATTTTATTTTTTTAAAATTTAGAGCTCCTGAGAAAATAAATAAAATAAATAAAATAAATATATATTTTATTTATTTTATTTATTAAAATTTGGAGCTCCTGAGAAAATAAATAAAATAAATAAAATAAATATTTATTTTATTTATTTTTATTTATTTTATTTTGGAGGTCTGCGTGGAGAAGAATTGGCTGAGAAAATAAATATTTATTTTATTTATTTTATTTATTAAAATTTAGAGCTCCTGAGAAAATAAATAAAATAAACAAAATAAATATTTATTTTATTTATTAAAATTTAGAGCTCCTGAGAAAATAAATAAAATAAATAAAATAAATATTTATTTTATTTATTTTATTTATTAAAATTTAGAGCTCTAACTTAAAGGAAATTCAGAAGGAATCTTCAGCCGTCAAATAGTACAGAAAGGTCTCTCTAACATATATATATATATGTATATATATATATATATGTATATGTATATGATATATGTATATGATATATATATATATATTATATTATATATATTATATATCCCATGATATACCGCAACATACAGCACCTCCCCGGCGGATCATCTCTCCGCGCCAGGCGGATGATGGCTTCGTTGGTCCTGGCGGAGCCACCAGGGAGCAACTGGCCGCCCTCACGGCCATGCTGCAGCAAAATCCAGAGATGTCTCCAGCCTCAGCCCAGCCCAAAAAGCCAAAAAATAAAACCACCGAAATGTGCAGATATCAATGGGAATTCTCCAGGATCCTAAAATGGAGGTACGTTAGTACCATATGTTTGGCCATATTTTGTGGGGATATTCCCTGAAATTTAGGCCTGAAAAATAGGCCTTATATATGCTTGGTACCTCCAATTTAGGATCCTGGAATGGCCATTGAAGATATGCCAGATTCTGATGATGTATAAGCCATAAATGGCGAGATGATTCTGATGATTCTGATGAAATGATGTTTTTGGGCAGAAATTGGTTCCACCATCTCTTCAGTTCCACTTAGTCGGTGCCGATCGGTTGCGCACTTAGTCGGTGAGTTGGTGACTCAGTGGACTCCCAGGCTGAACCAACTTCTCCCAGATATCGAAGCGCAAGATCCGCAGATGGCGGAGTTGATCCGCCCCACAGCTGAAGTGTTGCCACAGTTGCCGTTGTCACCAATGATCACCGATGATCGAAGCATCAAACTGACAGTCTTCTAAGCGTTTATGGTTTCTCTTTGGATAATATATATATATATATATTATAAATATATATATATATATTTAAGAGCGATATAATATCATGTAATGTACTAGTATCCTGCTTTTGGAATGAACATGATATCCAACTTTGAACATTTTGCCGCTGAAACGAGGTCAGAATCCTCAGACGCCTGTTTGCACAAGAAGGGCCAAGGGTTGTCCGAAAAGGGGCTAACCCCATGATTTTTCAAGGATTGTCTCGGTCTTCTCCATGTTTTCCCCACGAGATTTAAGGGCAGAATTTTATTTTCTATAGCGAAGAAATGTTGATTTTCAGTCCACTGCCAGTGTTGTGGAACATAGTTCCACAACATACGGTGGGTGGAAGAAATCCTGCACCACCTTGGATGGTTGAAACCCTATAAATAATGGGATACACCACCTATCAACTGGTGCAGGATTTCTTCCATCCACAGTATGACACGTGTTCCACCTGAGGCGGCTCATCGAACAGTTGGCGCAACTTGGTCAGGGCCGAGGTGTGGAGTTTACCAACATCAATGCCCCGTTTATTTTATGACCCAGTTTTGTAGGTAGCCTCTGGTAAACATACATAGCTATTGAAAATGGCCATTTATAGTGGATTTACCCATTAAAAATGGTGATATTCCATAGTTACGTTAGTTTACCAGAGGGTAAACATTCCATACATGGAGCATATGGGTATGGGATTCAGGCTGCCATGTTTTCGCATCTGGAGGAAAAAGGGTTTTCATCGGTTGAATCCCGACCTACAGGTGGTGCGCCTGGCATGCCCGGTGGCATGCCTGGTGGCATGCCAGGTATGCCGGGCGGAATGCCTGGGGGTGAAGTGATTCGATTGACAGAAGAAGAGAATGCTGCGGTCCAGTCCTTAGAATTTTCTGGAGTGCACTTGAGGTCTCCATAGGTATGTGACTTAATGATGATTATAGAACTTTGGACTGCTTTGCATTTGCTAACATCGGCAATGTTCAACAATTCAAACTGCCAAAACCTTGCGGCAAGGCTCTGAAAATAGGATACCTTATGAATTTGATGGTTAACCATCATTTTCCCAATAGTTTCCCTGTACCATCCTGTACCTATATTTTAATATTTTCAGGTCCGCATCCTGCCCCAATTCTGCAGCCTGCCCCATCCTGGTCATTGACATGGTCCGAAAAGGTGGAAAGACTGGCAGCGCTTGGCTTCCCCAAGGAAATGGCTGCGCAGGTGCAACCGGGGAAATTCCAGAAATTCCTTTTGAGAAAATGGGTCACCGGGGTACCCCATGGCTTCCCCATGGTCCCCATCACCAAATTCTGGCCCAAGGCGTACCTGGCATGCGACAAGAGCGAAGAGCTTGCAGCAAACTTTCTCTTTGACAATGCGGGTGATTGAGGCGGATTCTCTAATTTGTTTTGTCTGGGATGTTCTTAGATTCTTAGATATTTTATGATATTCTTAGCTTGTTGATCAATGTTGATGCCTGTTTGGGAAGATTTCTATCAGGCAGCAAGTTCCAACCGGGATTCCAACCAGCCAAGATTCGATAAGATTCGTTTCGCTCGACAGGTCGATGCTCATTCAGTGAGAGGGTGGAAGTGCTGAAGAAAATACAGGGTGGGTTCAGGTGATTCAGTGAATTGCTAAGTCGGTAGTAACCATAGTATAACCCACTTAGATCCACTTAGACTGTATATGCAATATCCCCACTTATATATCGTTTAAATGGTCTATCACACGTCGTGTTGATCGATTAGAAGTTCTGTTTTGAAGGCGCGGAAGAGGTCAACATTTCCGTGCTTCAAATGAAAGCTCGGACAGCAATGTACAGAAATGGTGATGTCACCCGCAAACGCATTGCATTTCACTTTGTGAATCCTGGCCAAAAGAGTGAGCTGCGGAGTTTGCAGCAATTTTTGGCGCACTTGGTCGTGATGATCTTGAAAACCAGGTCCTTCCAGAGTGCCAAAAAGCAGTCCTGCCAAGGAGTCAGCAGCCGCAGTGAGCGTTGATGAGTCAATGTACATAGCAGATCATAGTGTGCTAGCTCCAAGTGCCATCAAAAGATCACAAGATGTGATGGCAGGATATGGCAGGTATCAAAATCAGAGCCATGCTGGGACAGCTAAGGCAAACAGCGCTGCTACCGCACTGCACCAAGGATTTCCAACTTCGAACGCTTGGGTTGGACGCGCTCCACGGATGAGGACTTCGACGTGTACTGGGCCTCCGTTCATAATGTAAGTCTCCTCAGATGCGGTGTCAAAAACCGAGTTACCATGCTTTTGAACACTTTGAAGATTTTGAAGTCCAGCAGAACGGTAAGATTTTCAGCACATAGAGAGTTGATAAAATGTCGGTAGAGATGATGACTTTTCAGGATTTTTCAGGCAGGGACCCTGCACTGAGTCCCTGCCGTCACACTGAGGTTCGAGGTCTTTTCAATCCAGAAAATTTGTCCAAACGTCTCCGAGATGGTCAGGCCCAAACGAAACTCTGCTCCAAATATCTCCAGCGTACATCAGAATACCAATATATAGTATGATATATACCCTCCGGTAATTTAACATAGCTATTGAAAATGGCCATAGAAATAGTGAGTTTTCCCATTAAAAATGGTGATTTTCAATACCTGCAGCACCTCTAGAAGAATAAAGATTCTTCTATATATAAAAGAGTACTCTTTTGTGTTATAGCACGGTCATTCACGTATGGAACGGGTATTTACGTTCTTGAACGGTTTTTAACGTTCGGCTGAGCCATGGTTTTCACATTCCAAAATGCCACCCAAAATCAACATATATTGCACATTTTGACATGCATATAATGCACATATATGCTCATTGCAATCCCAAAGCCTGCACACCCCGATCTCTTTTTTTCAAGCGCGCCCCCACAAAATGTTCACCTGTGCCAAATACCTCCGAAGTGCCCTATGGGAAATTGCACGGGGTGACACCCTTCTTGTTAAAACGGCTGCCCGGCCGACGAAATCCTCGTCGAGGCTGCATGTCTCACATGCAGGATTTAAGATCCATTCGCTGATTGCTATTTGTCTCTCCAGTTCTGCCCAAATTTCGTGTATTGCATGAATTTTCGGTATGCATGAGAACATACTCTGACCTGCCTCATATGCCCAGTATGCCTGCAAAAGGTACACGCGTACAAATTGGAGAAGCCCATGGGCAATGGGGGTTGCATATGCACGTCTCAGCCAAACATCTCCAGCGTAGATCTTGCGCATCACATCATTCATTTTTTTGCAACCAAATGCCTTAGATCTTGCGTGCACATCTCTGTAAATGCACTTTCTACTGATGTCCAAGGGAAAAAAATACAACCTATATATAATGGGCTTATCAACCAAGGAAAAACATAGTGCATGCATGTAACACAAAACAATACAACGACCAAAATGCATGAGAGCTTCCAGATATTCTAAACGACGGTTGCCTGCTACCAGTTCAGCATGTTGCTCACACAAATCTTCCAGGAATAAAGACATATTGCTGGTGACTGCTGCCTTGTTCCATGATCCTTCACCCCCAGTTGCGGAGCAAGTGTGCTGGTCAATTCTAGTGATAAAACTTGTCAGTTTTTGTCGTCTGCAAAATTCTTGATATTTCTGACTGATATAGGCAAACCGAAGATCCGCATTGCTACCAGGGACAACCTGGCTCATCAACAACAACCCGCAACCACACCAGTGCTTGCCAGCACCTAAGTGCCAGCAGTGCCATAGGTCATATTTGAAAAACCTTTGCCGGCCGTTGATAGAACCATCTTGGTACAGTTTCTTTGTGAACACACTTTCCCTTACCCAGGGCAACTCAATCTCTTCACGATGCGATGCTTTCATGGCCACTTCAGTCGCATTCCTGGGCATGCAAAAAATTGCAAAGGGGCCAGGGCCAAATACAGAAACAAAATAGAAACGGGAGTGGCGCCATATCACAGTCCCTGGAAATTGGAAACCACATATAAAAAGATACGAAACAAAAGGTAAATCAAAAAACTATATATACTGTACCCGTTAAATCAAAATAAGGAACAGGTCCTCCCAATCTACATCCTTCCCAGCCATGCACAAATGGCAGATACCAGCACCTTCTGTCACCCCGTCTCCAGCCCCTCTGGGGGCTCTTCGGTAAGAGCGCTCCAAATTCCCTGAGGATACCTGCATGGGCAAATGGTTGTTAGGCAACAGAACCTGTTGGAACCCAACATTTAAAAACAATGGGGTGCATTTGACATTAAATCTTTATAAGTTACCATCTCGGCCAAGTTACTAGATAGCTCCAGTCACCCTTGGTTCCCAGAATGATGGGGTACACAACTCCATCCGTGGAAAGTTCAATGCCATCCCGTTCAAGACGTTGAAATTCAGAAGCTATGTTGTTCATAATGGCATTCCAAATCCTGGGGTCATCTTTGTAAAGGTCCTCACAGGGTCATGGCATGGATATTGTCTCAATTTTTTAACTATATGCACAAAAACCCAACATGCATATATCCAGGTTGCACAACTATGCACAACTTGTGACAAAACAACATGTTTGCACAACAGTGGAATTTAGCCCATACAAAACCAGCCAAGTTTGGACAGTAGACATCCTTGGGACACAGGACCAAAAGCATCCGCGTATACATGCCGCACTTCAAAAAATTGAGTGGCAGTCCACTTTCCCCCATGTTTTGAAGATTCAACGACATCTCCTGCGGCCTCCGCGAACTTCCAAAACCCATGGGTGACTGAAAACTCACAATCAGGACACCACGTTTTTTGTATGTGGTGCCCTCGTCACCATGCAGGTATAACGGAATACAGTGCTTCAAGTGCTTGCGCCCTGCATCCACTTCGGGGAAAAGTTGAAACTCTGGAAATATAGCTCTATACCGGTTCCAAAATGTAACCAGTAAGTCTTCCGCTTCAGCTACGGTTCCAAAGCCACCAAGTATGTGGGACAAGTCATTGTGTAAAGCCATCTTTTTCAGGAAGTCCCCAGGTTTCAGCCACGGTAGTCCATTTAATGGACTTGCAGATTCAACCGTGATAGGCACTGGATAGAAGAGCTTGTACTTTGTGAAGACCTTGTAGACGAACTCTTCCTTACATTGGGATGGATACATATATATATATATATCATATATTTGCATGTATAACATTGTCAGAGAAACACATGGGTGTTTGGAAGTCTATATAGTATATATTGAACTTAATACCCTGTCTCTTTTTGGACAATCATTTCTATGCACAAGGATCACAAACTATGATGTTCACGAAGGTACATGACCATGCTAAAACACAAAAGAGGATATATAATCGATATAATAAGAACCTTTATTCTTTTAGGGGTGCTGTAGGTACATTGGAGGACAATAAGTTGTGGGGACCGAACCTGTATGTCCAACAATTTAGCGAAGAATCTGATTTTTTGGGGTTCTTGTTGGCAAGGGCAAGCAGAACTGGACAGCGGCCGGTCAGTCGACCCTCCTGCTCATCATCTCGGCAGGAAGCCGTAGCAAATTTCAGAATCTCCCGGGCAGGTTCCTGGCATGAATGTCAATTCAATCAGACAATTCCAGAACCCAACGGGATGCCAGTTTTTCAATCATTCGTGATTGTTCTTTCTTGTTCACTTAAAAATATGATGTCGATCAGTCAACTCACAGATCTCCGGGGAGAATAGTCCAATGTAAGGAGAATTACGGATGCACGACACAAGTTCACTTTAACAGTAAAGTATATTATATAGCGAAGATCAGTGACAAAAACTTGAGTCAGACCTTTGAACCCATGTTGCCATGGAATGCCAAGCATCTCCACGGCCGTACCTCCAAGCCAATTGGAAGGCCTTGTGGGAAGGTCCTGGCATGCAGGAAGACAGGGTAAGAAGCTTTTTCACAAAACACAGGGTTGTATGATTGCATGATGGGCTTTTTGTTTGTGAATGTCTTTAAACCCCCTTTGTCAAGAAGGATGTAAATATGTAATGGCACTTGAACACTGAACCCCAACAACCCACAGCTGTTCCTTTTTCCACACACCTTGTGGTGACAACCACACATCCGAGAGTTTGGATTGGACTGGCACTAGTACCAGCATGGTGCAGCCGGAACCGTAAGGCCAATCTAGAGGATCATATGATATCACATGATCAGTCCCCAAATGGCTGCCGACTTAAAAATCGACAACCTCCAAGATTTTCCAAGATTTCTGCTCAGGTGGTTCCCCACATGTCTTCAGATCCCATGTCAGCCATTCGCAGCTATAGCAACATAGCAGTCAAAAATGAGATAAAAATCAATGTGTTCAAAAGAAATAACATCAAGTATATATGATTTGCTTGAGCCATATACAGTACGCCATGTTCATTTATCAAGATTCTTGCCACTGCTGCCGTGGCTGCTCAGGCATTCTTTGCCTTCCTGGGACGCTTTCCCCTATGGGTCCGAACAGTGGAGGGCTCAGCCACAGTGGCATCAGAAGCTTTGGCTCTGAAACGCTTGGAGGGTGGCTTATCATTGGGCACACCACGTCCCTTTGGCTTCTTACTCTTCCTGGCAGCTGCTTTTGCCTTAGCCTTACCCTTTGCCTTCGGCAGAGGATGGTTCTTTGCCCTGCTGCTTTTGCTCTCCTTGAGCATATGCCTCATTCTAGTTTGGTTTCAATCAATGATGTTGTACCATAAAAACATAAGAACGACAGTCCTGATTCCATATACAGTGTCACAATGGGATATATCAGCTAAGTCACTTGTACTGGGTCTCGAGAGTCAGGAGGTCTGAGCACCTTCCAACCATAAATGGATTTGGATATTATGTGCAAGCCAAAATGTGCTGATGGTATACCAAAGAGATTATAGTATATGGAATGAATTCACACAAAGATTTGTATATATCTATAGGTACATATGTGCGACAAGGCACGCTGATCTGACATTGTTCTTTTCCGAAGTCACCTTGTCCAGGAGCCTAGGCACCAAGTATAGGATGAGATGGAAAATGGTGGTTACATCCCCATAGATAGATGTTATATATATGTATTATTTATATATCGTGGATACTGTTGCCGCGTCAGCCCATTCTTGATGATTTAATTTATAAGCAGTGGACCCGATTTATGGTGAATTGCTCAACCTCCCATAAAGATATGTCCTCAAACTGCAACGGCCAAACTTCCCCCAGGTTCGTTACCACTTGCTATTTTGTGAAGGCACTGCCAATTGGGATGGTGTGCAATTTTGGGGCAGGTCATTCCCTATATACAGAATTTTGCATAATATCATATAATGTAGCCAATTGGGTAAGAGAGCGTTGGGACACTTTGACTTTGGTGAAGTCATGGGAATCCAAGGTATTGAATTGTATGATACAGTTGATCGTGTATATATTTAAAAAATATATATATGCTTTGCCAACGAACAATGAGCTATCTTGATGGGCTCTGGACATAACAGCTGTGCAGAAATATTGGATTTC